CTCTTTCAGTTCATGACATTCATCATGCCCTCTCTCCTTGAGGACACCAGCTCACCTGACTCCAACGCTCGCTCCTTCAAGAAGAAGTATGAGGATCAACTCCTTGAGCTCGAGAAAAAAGATGATGACCTCCTGGCCGCCAATGCTTTGATTGCTAAACTCATGATTGAGAAAGCTGCTGCCCTCTTGACGGTCGACCAATTGCGCGCCGACTTGGCGAAGGCTGTTGATGATAGCATGGTCGAGAGGGAGGCCGGGATCCTCGAGGGGCGCCGGACTTTTCTCAAGTCTTTGGTTGGCTCGGTGTTCCTCGAGCACTACCGTCTGGAGGCTATCAAGCTCTTATGCAACTCCCCTGCCTTCTTCAACATGCTATGCCCCGCGACTCTTCAATACTTTAATCATACGTTCGATGCGTGGGAGGTGACAGTGGCCGGGACAGACTGCGCCGGCAAACTCGTTCGCGAGGAAGTGAAGAAAACGCTCCCCTTTCCCAACGGCTATAAGGGTGATGTGGCTCTTCCCGCGGACCACCCGTGGTGGATTGGTCTCGAGGCAAGGGTCATTCGTAAGGCCGGGTTGAATGGTCGTCTCGAGGTTCCACCGCTCCTTTGGCTGGTCTGACCGAACTAGTCGGGCCAAATGGAGCGGACCACGTGGGGTCCTCTGACGTCGAGGAGCGTGATGAGCAGGTCGGGGCGGCAGAAGTCGAGGAGGTGGAGCAGGAGGATGTTGCTGGTGCTGGTGAGAAAATTGCTGCTAATGAGGGTTAAAAGACCGAGACGGTCGTTGCTGGTGGTGGTAGTGAGGAGGAAAAATCCGATGCTGAGTCTTGAGATTGTTCTTGTTTCCTTTGTTTTGAAAGAAAATTGTTAGGATATGCCGCCTCGGCCTATTTTCAAGATCTGTAAAGGCCGAGGCGACTCGGAATGTAATGGGCTTTTTTTTGTTTTTTAGTTTTTTTTTTTTATATATCAATATTACTCTTTTTCCTTCATCGTTTGTATTAATTGTATTTCAAATTATCTTGCAGCTATTTCCCGTATATCTTCTCCCCAACCCTTCTTGCGAGCTGGTCGAAGTCGAGCAACGATTTGAACAGCTTCATAGCTGTGAAACGTAAGTTTTTCAACTCGTCTTCTCCAACCCTTCTTGCGAGCTGGTCGAAGTCAAGCAACGATTTTAACAGCTTCATAGCTGTGAAACGTAAGTTTTTCAACTCGTCTTCTCCAACCCTTCTTGAGA